TACTGTCACCCAGCAATAGGCTGTTCAGCAAAGGACCTGGAGAACATGATGGAGCCCCTGCCTACGAAGGGAGAAAAGTCGCAGGTACTCAGCCAAAGTGTTTTTATTTACATACATTCATTTGCATTACATTTGCCTCCAGAGTACACATACACTAACTCACAAAATATGACCGCAACACATATTTCTTAGCGAATGTTTCAGCCCCTGCAGGTGATGTTTGCTGGAGAGGCGACTCATCCTGACTACTACTCTGCCGCCCATGGAGCGCTGCTCTCCGGGTGGAGAGAAGCTGATAGACTCATCACTCATTACTCCTAAAAAATGACTAGGTTAGAAATCAATAGTTAACAACAGACAAGAGCTATCGATGGTGAACAGATCAAAGGGGCAAAGGAAAGGCAGAGTTTAAAGGCAGGCAGGGAATTAAGAGGGAACGCTATAGCAGGTAATATGTAGTAGATAATCAGACAGTATATTCATCGAACTGGGTCAGTGTACATGCTGTGGGGTTTATGATCGTCAGCTGGCTGGGTGAAAGTGCAATTCAGGTGACTGGAAGTGTCATGGCCTGACATGACGAAGAGTTGGTAAATGGAGAATAAAAGACAGACATGAATGTGATAATCTAGCACATACTTGGACAAAAGCTAAAAGGTTGCTTGAGGAGAAAACAGCATAGAACGTTATGAATCCTGATGGAAATTCATGTGTCAGATATTGCACAGTGCCTTCCCAAATCTGCTGTATCTCCGGTGTCCAAACATCCACACAGGCTGGAATTGTTTGCACTTTCTCGCATTGTGATGATGTATGTGATGTACAATTAAATGGTAGTTCAAATAAAATGTAAATTGAGTCAGACTCAGGAAGAACAAGAATCAATACATGCTGTTTAGGTGTCAGTTTGCTCTTTGGTAACTATAAAGTGACTGCAGATATAATGTATAAGCAGAGTACCTAATCTTTTTCAATTAATCACAGGACACTGTGTCAGTGAGCCTCTTCATTAAAAAGGAGGGAAAGTAGATTTACATGATCTAAGAAGTGTCTTTTTTAACAATAGTTATAAGAACTGTTTTAGAGGCCTTTCAGAAAATGCACAACAGCACATCTGTGAACTGAATTGATTGGTTGTCCAGTAATTATACTAAATAAATGAAATATGAAATGATGGGGCAGGCTCAATAAAGAATATTCAGTGCTGTAATTTGTCACAAAAGTCTGGAAACGATGGAACAATTTGCCTCTTTGTTAATTGATGTTATTGAATAAATTAAATCTCAGACAACCACAAAAATAACATGAAGTTATTGCGTTTTTCTATGTGAGTAAAAGAATGTTTAATGTAATTATTTACAGATTTAAGCACATATATGTGTGGTATTGAAATGTAATACACTGTTTATTCTTATGGAAATTAAATTGCTGCCAAAGTAAAGGCAGTAGCTTGTAAAATGTTTTTAAAATGTGTTTTATTGCACTATTTGTTTTATTTTTCTGGGAACACGATGATTTAAAATGGGAGCCTTTTAAGGAATAATATTTGCCGTTGCCTGAACTAACCCTGTGTTCAACTGTCTGTCACATACGGCACGAGAGGTGCGTTTTATTTTGAAAGTCTCGACCGGCGGACGTGGTGAACCGTCGCTCTTGTCTCCAGACGAAGCAGAGAAACTGTCACGTCAGTGCGAAGCAGCCATGTCCAGGAGTGTGAACGCTAAAGTAGTGATAGTAGGATGCGGGATATCAGGTATATCAGCGGCTCACCGGCTCGTTGAAGCTGGATTTCAACATGTACGGATACTTGAAGCGACTGAAAGAAGCGGAGGAAGAATAAAAACAGGAAGACTGGGTGAGCGATGAGCAGCAACTACTGACACAGCAGTAGGAGGCTAAATGAGTTAGCTGTTTAAATCACAAAAAAAACACGTTTTCTTGTAGGAGTTCAAAGGTCATGGTGTTTTATTTATTTATTTATTTATTTATTTTTTTAAACATAATTCTGTTCTGTGGTAAGCCGCAGTACTGAGTTCCTCACCAGGCTGCGGTCTGACAGCAGCACACAGCTCCTGGTTGTGACCACAGCTCAAGTTGGCACAACTACACTATTATCAGCTCAGTTTTAACGCTGGCACGTCCTGTAACAGTTTGTAAGTTATATAGGCCCATATAGACGGCCAACGGTCTCAGCAACAGTGGCACCTGAGGACAAAGTACATACAATACAGTGACTACTGAAACATCTACATAAAGACAAGTGCTACAGATACAGTTAGTGGACCAAAGAAGCTTCAGAATGCTGTGCAGACTGACTGGTAATGTACATGTAACCAACACAGTGTCTCGCTCTTAAAAGCTTTATCAGCTGTTGTCTTTGCACTGGAGCTGTAAGTACTTGGTCATGTGCTTATCCAAAAAAATCAGCTATTATATTATTCAACTAACTCCAGCTTTACTACAACAGGAGCACGACTGTCCTCTATGGAGCACAGGGTAATAAAGAATAGGGGGGGAACCTACCGTGACTATACGGGGGCTCCATATTTCCTCACTGATCCAAAGCAGTCTGTGTACAGTCGTCCTTAAATGTATTCATAGCCTCCCATTGAAGGAGGGAAAAAAACAGCTGTCACTGAAATAAGCTGAAATTGACAAAAGTAATAATTAATACTAATGTAATGCACATCAGGACATTGCTTTTGAATTGTGCTTCAACAGAAATATATTTTTTAAAAACCACACACAAGCATGATGGAACCCGTGAACTAATATTTTGTTGAACAACCCTTTGAGACAATCACTGCAGTCAAGTGTTTTCTGTAACTCTCAATCAGACTTCTGCACCTGTTGACAGCTATTCTGGCCCACTGCTCAACTACTCATCAGCAAAGTCCTCTAATTTGTCCAGGACAGTTTTGTTTGTTTCTTGAAATTATTCTTTTCAACCACAATTCAAAAGCAATGTCTTAATTCACTAAATTATAATTTAACAAATGTTTATTTATTTATGTATTTTTCAATTTCTATTTATTTTAGTGACTATTGTGAATTTTGCCTTTTCTTTAATGGAAGGGAATGAATACATTTGAGGACAACTGTACGTACAGATTTTGAGGTTTCTTCTTGTGAGGAAAATACTTCAGTGGAGTCCTAACTGCTCCAAATCAGCACACAGAGTCGTCTCTCAGGTTCAAGCAATGTTTTACTTGCAGCAAAGAATCACATGCACAGTACAGAATCTGAACAAGTGACTGACTAAAAACATGAAGCATTGCTTCTTACATACAGTGAACAGAAAACTGAAAACAATTAGGCACAGTTCTCATGGTATTTTGACTACCCACTAAGAACATCTGTCCTTTTCTCACACTCACAAAGTTCAATAGATGTAATGGACATTTACAGCATTGACTCTTAGACTTTTCACAAAGATCATTGGATCATAACATAAAATTATTCCAACACTTCTGTTACCTTTGGTTCTATGAGAATCTGGTTCATACTTCACACATAAGGAAAATTGATGCAGTTTCATTTGTGCTATGGCACCCCTGGAGCAGGTAGGGTGAAGAGCCTGGAAATTCCTTCTCCTCCAGCTTAGCATCACCGTACACTTGCCTTGATATCACAGTGCTTGGTATGTAGACAAAAACAGCAAAGGCAAACTTACCTCTGTGAAAACAATATTATACTGAAGTTTAGTATTATCTGAGTTCTCAACACCAAGACTACTGTCTTGTAAAAGCTTATACTATGAAATCTGACACGCTCATAGCTGTTCTCAATGACCACACTAAAAGTCAGAGTGAAAAGATAGCTGTCATAGAGGTGTAAATGTGAGGATAACAATGGAGATCTTCAAAAAGACACTCCTTGTGAAGTGTCACAAATAGTTGTGTAACATATTAAAGAAGATGAGCGCCAGAGGTAGAAGTTTAAACCCAGTGTACTTTAACAGCTGTCTAGTCACAACATGACGCTGGTGTGAATCACAGATCAGTGTTTGCTTCTAATAATCCAGCGTGACAGGTAAATCATGTGAGTCATAAATACAACATATTACTCAAGTAAGGGTTATTCCACACTGTACCAAAATTGCAAAAGTGAAGGAGCAAAAAAAAAGGTTAATAGTGATCCTTTTTGTTTTTGCTAATTTTCTCATCTGTAGGTGATAAGATTGTTGAGATAGGGGCAAACTGGATCCATGGACCATGTGAGGAGAACCCGGTGTTTTGTCTGGCCCGTCAGTATGGACTTCTGGATCCAGAGGCCCTGACCCCAGAGAACCAGGCCATGGACATCGGAGGACATCCCCCCTGGGTTCCAAATTTCTTCAGCAGTTCAGGTTAGCAGATCTTTAAAGAATTATAGCCTGCTCTAAGATGAAATGAAATGAAAAATACTTTATTTATCCCAGAAGGGAAATTCAATTATATAAATGCTCACTTCAGACAGTTTAAAATTATGAAGCCAGTGTGAAAGTGAACCAAACAGGAGAATCAGCCAGTCTGACACCATGTAGTAGAAGATAAATGTTCACAGTGCTGGAATCTGTTTCAGTGGAAATTGTAGAAAAAACTACAAGGTACTGAAAGGTTGGGAAGGTAAAATTTAATTTATGTTAAACTGTAACGTGATCATGCTCTGTGCTAATGCTTGACTATTGTATCTAAAAAAAAAAAAAAAAAACGCCTTTTTGTTGGATTTCAGGCAAAAAAAAAAAAAAGTAGTGTATTTTGGGAACCACTCTCGTGTGTGCACTGCAAAGCCTGTTTTTTATACCGGCTGGTCATTGATTACTCTCTGTAGCATCTGAGTGAAGTTGTGTAATATGGTAAACTTGATGTTGTCTTCCTAATTCTTATTTTTCTGTGCAGGTCGGAAGCTGAATGCTGAGGACGTCTATCCTGCTCAGCAAATGTTTGTTGAGCTGCTGAATGAAAGCTCAGAATATCAGGGTCAAAAGGGAGAACCCTGGGCCTGTATGGGAGACTTCATACGCTCAGAGGTACATTTCTTCAAAATTGCATTGTGTTTGTCACTCACAAATATCTGAGATCAGCTGATGTTTTTGCATCCCACATGAATTAAGGGTTTGTTTCATTGCTTGTTGGCTGGTGAAGGTGCAGCAACGAGCTGCGGAGCAGTGGAACGACATTGATGCAAACTCCAGATCTCTGCGACTGTGTGTGATCAGTAACATGTTGAAGGTGGAGTGTTGTGTTAATGGGGCTCACAGTATGGACGAGGTGAGTCTGGGGGCCTTTGGCCTCTACAAGACTCTACCTGGAAATGACTGCACATTCCCCAGGTTCGTACTCCAACACTGCAACAACACATGTTTATTTTATAGGTGCATGTAAAGATCAAGGGCTGCAAGGTGGTTCGGTGGTTAGCACCGTTGCCTGGCAGCAAGAAGATCGCCGGTTTACATCCCAGTGAGGACGCCCGGGATCTTTCTGCATGGAGTTTGCATGTTCTCCCCGTGCAGCGTGGGTTCTCTCCAGGTTCTCCAGCTTCCTCCCACTGCCGAATAACATGATGCAGTTAATTGGTGATTCTAAATTATCCGTAGGTGTGAATGTTAGTGTGCTTGGTTGTCTGTCTATAAATGTAGCCCTGCGATAGACTGGCGACCTGTCCAGGGTGTCCCCTGCCTGCGCCCTAAGTTGGCTGGGATAGGCTCCAGCCCCCCTGTGACCCTAGTGAGGATTAAGCAGTGTATAGATAGCGGATGGATGGATGGATGGATGTAAAGATTTACATCAGATTGTAACATTTGTTAAGGTGTTGGTAGTTTTACATTATACACATTTTATCAAAGTGCATTATTTAATTACCTAATTCCATGATCATTTCAGCTGATTGTTTCAGTACATGTCCACAGTTTGTCTCACACTGAATTTCTTTCTTGTGCAGTGGCTATGAAGGTCTAATAAAAAACTTGATGTCGGAGCTCCCCAGTGGTTTAGTGACCTACAATCGGCCTGTGCGCTGTGTCCACTGGAACAACACAGAGAGGAGAGAAAGCCCTGTCATGGTCGAGTGTGATGATGGGGAAAGGATTGTCGCTGATCATGTTATTTGCACTGTACCTCTAGGTAAATTTCATGCACACATACACAAACACAAGTTAAAGTTGGGGTGGGGATTATTACCGAATTACGTGACGTCACTTGACTGGTCCAGCACAATGTAAAACTAAATGGGTCAGTCAGATTGCTATCGAGTGCCCTTGTTTGAGGTCTAGTCAGAGAGAATATCACTTAGGTGGGTAGAGACACTTTTTTAATCAGTGACTGTTGTCAGGAAGATGTATCATGACGTATAAAAATACATCACAATTTTCTTGTAAAAATACTGTAAACACTGTACTTCTATTTGTAGTATATGTATTTTAATTACTATATCCTATCACTTACTACAGTCATAGCATCTCCCTAACCTTGCACAGTAATAAGAATGCTTTGTATGATTCATTAGCAACATGATATTCAGCACTGACCAACCCTAAATTGTTCTGTTTTGTCAGGATACCTCAAGAAGCACCATTCCACGCTGTTCAGTCCTCCTCTCCCTCTACACAAGCTGTGCTCCGTCCAGAGGCTGGGCTTTGGAACGAACAATAAAATATTTGTGGAGTTTGATGCACCTTGGTGGGATGCTGACTGTGAGGTCATTTATCTCGTGTGGGAAGATGAGGTGAGACATGTGGTGGGTGCATGCAGGTGTACATCTTCTGTACAAAACATGCATACACACTGGCTTTTTGTTTTAGTGTTGTGATTTAGCAGGATTACATTTGCTCACATCTCAGTCTCAAAATATATATGTATTTTTTGCCAGTAGTTAGCAAAAAAAGAATCTAAAAATTGACTCAATTTTATCCCTTTTCTTGAAACAGGATGCCATGTTGGATGAGGTACCAGATGTACAGAGATCCTGGATCAAGAAGCTGTTTGGCTTCACTGTACTGAAACCCACTGAAAGGTCAACAACCACAATAGGCACACAACCGCTGATGCTTGTCCAGCTTGTTTATATTGTATTCAACAGGAAGTGTTCATAGATTAAATGTGCAGCTCTGTTTGTGGTTTCAGGTATGGCCATGTTCTCTGTGGCTGGATCGCTGGGCATGAGTCCGAGTATATGGAGACACTGTCTGAGCAGGAGGTGACACAAGCAGTCACACATCTTATTCGCAGGTTTACAGGTGAGTCACAAGAACTGGGTAACACCCAACTTATGCTCTGAAATCCTTGGACATTTTATGGTGATCTCTGTCAGCACTTGTAGACTAACTGTGTGCATTTAGGAAACCCGATTGTCACTCCGAAGAGAGTTGTCCGCTCCCAGTGGTTTCATGACCCGTGGACGTGTGGATCCTACACTCACACTGGAAAAGGCTGTTCAGAGCAGGACCTGGACAACATGATGGAGCCCCTGCCATCCAAAGGATCACAGTCACAAGTAATTACATGTTTAGACTGAAACATAAATGCGTTCTCTAATCATACACACCACCTGACACGTACTAAAAAGGTTTTGTTTATTCTATTTGTCCTGTTTCAGCCCCTACAGGTGCTGTTTGCTGGAGAGGCTACTCACCCCTGCTACTTCTCAACCGTTCATGGAGCTCTTCTCACTGGGAGGAGAGAAGCTGACAGACTCATCTCTCACTACTCCTCCATTCGTCCATCTGAGCTTTCTAAGTCAAAGCTTTAAAAAAAAAACATTGCTGCTCTGAGGTTCATCAGATTGCTGTAATGAATGTATAAAATTATGATATCCAAGTTGATTTGGAGATTTTTTTTCTGTTTATTTAGTCACTTAAAAAATTGGAACCATGAATCTTCACAGTGATAATATGTTAACACTTTAAAGATCAAAGATGTAGCTTTACATATTTGCTGATACAAAGGCTATTTTGACCAAGAGTATCTAAAAACACACATGTTGTAATCCTGTATATAAATTAGTACTTATGAGGATTCACTTTGCACTTTTTCAACTTTCCTCTTTGCCTGTTGGATTATTGTGGAGAGAGTTTTTGTAATTAACTATGAATAAATAATGAACTATTTTCTCACATTTACGCATTTATTTGTTTGAACTGTAGAATACAAAAAGATTATTGTGTGAATTGATAGTTTCATATAGGAGGTACAGGCCGAAGCAGCTTTGAGAGATGTATGTCATACAGCCTTCTCCAAAATTAAACGGGTTAAAAGTGGCTAGCCAAAGGAAGAAACCCATTCATGTCGATTTCAATGAGTAAACTTGAAATGTCATGTTAGAAATGTTTAACCTGCATGTTGGTGCCAAGAGCAGCCACACTGGACTGAATGAATGCGTCATTTAAAGGGGCCATATTGTACACAATCCAGTTTGTCCCCAGCATGTCTAGAGATTTACGCTCTCTACGATTTGCAGCCCATTGTGATGCCTTTACACTGTCTTTGACTGTCACATTCTAAACTTATTTATACTTGCACAAGACACCGTGACACATGTATGCAGAGGATTGCGGGTCAGAATAGCTGACTGATTTGTATACTGCAACTGTACATCTGACTGGAT